AAGTTTGGTCAAAAAAGGGTCCTTTTAGTGATTTAGGAGACCTCAAGAAACCATTTGATCGACCTGAAAAAAAGGTCAACTAAATTTTCTAAAAATTTCGAAAGTCCGCCCCTCGTCGAAAAAACCGTAGATCCGCCTCTGGTCCGCAGTATCTTGAATTATTTTGTTTTTCATTCTTCGAGGTATCAGATAAAGATTTTTTTAAATTTTTTTCCAATATCTGCTGGCTTAAACTACAAAAAAAACGACATATTGTCCAATTTATTTTTCTGATTAGGGTAAAGAGTGCCAAATTAAGCTCTTTGGTTAAAAAATATAATTTTCTTAAAGCACAAAAATTTGTTTATTTTTTTTTGTTTACTTTTTTCAAAATTTATTGAAGTGATGAAAAAGAAAATAGTTCCTTCAGTTACCTCTTCGCTTAGTTTAGGACTCAATTATACTTTATATCATAAAGTATCTAGTATCTTAAATCATCACAAGATACATGATACATCATACTTGATATCTTTGGGCCGCACCACTAGTTCAAAAAAAGCTCATAGGCGATAAACATATTAATATATTAGAAAACCCTTGGTCATAACTTGCAGTAACCGGCCCAAGTAAAACAAGAATAGCCGGTTACTGAGCAAGTAGCACAAAATTTTGTGATCATAGTCTTAAAAATGTTATTCAAATTAGAGTCCATTTTTCAGCGGGTTGATGAAAAGATCTGAACAAATAATAGAAATTAGGTTTATTCGACATTGATAGTTATATCAGCCTACTGGAAAACATTTTTTTTTAAATTAACAAAAAAAAAGCGGGAAAAAATAGTAAAATCATTTAAAAACTTTTCAAATTTTTTTTTGCAGAAATGTTTTGAACTTTTTCTAGTTTTCGATTCGAACTCTAGACCAACAATCAAAATTGTTAAACCGATTTTTTCTCAACATTGAGGAAAAAGTGTCTAAAACTTTTAAATTTCAATCGAATCACGACTGTAAGGACTTTAATATGATATATCGTTCGACCCATTCTGAGTATTATCTAAGGGTAGCTGATTTTGCGTGGAAAACAAAAAATAATAATAAAAAACTAAAACACCCGACTACAGAGCTCCTTCCCATTTTCAAGGTTCGGAACAAAAAATCAAGTATTTGTTCCACTGTTTAGAAACACTCTCGTTCCCTAGACTTCTCGTTCCCTAGTAATTGAAAAAACTCAAAAGTGAGTTATGTCCTCAGCCAGGGGCGAATGTGGGGTGAGGATTGGGGGTGTTTCCAAACAATTTACCACCCTTCCCTTACGGATTCGGCGCCAAAATTTTACGGCGGCATTATGAGCTAATTTTGACAGGGAGCGCGCGCCGAAAAAACGCAACTTTTTAGTCAAACAAAACACTCAAAAAACCCAAAAACGGAATTTTTAGCCTGTCTTTTTTACAAAAAAAATGGCTGCGGCGCAGAAAGTTTGGTCAAAAAAGGGTCCTTTTAGTGATTTAGGAGACCTCAAGAAACCATTTGATCGACCTGAAAAAAAGGTCAACTAAATTTTCTAAAAATTTCGAAAGTCCGCCCCTCGTCGAAAAAACCGTAGATCCGCCTCTGGTCCGCAGTATCTAAAATTATTTTGTTTTTCATTCTTCGAGGTATCAGATAAAGATTTTTTAAAACTTTTTTCCAATATCTGCTGGCTTAAACTACAAAAAAAACGACATATTGTCCAATTAATTTTTCTGATTAGGGTAAAGAGTGCCAAATTAAGCTCTTTGGTTAAAAAATATAATTTTCTTAAAGCACAAAAATTTGTTTATTTTTTTTGTTTACTTTTTTCAAAATTTATTGAAGTGATGAAAAAGAAAATAGTTCCTTCAGTTACCTCTTCGCTTAGTTTAGGACTCAATTATACTTTATATCATAAAGTATCTAGTATCTTAAATCATCACAAGATACATGATACATCATACTTGATATCTTTGGGCCGCACCTGGATTTTCAGGCAGGTTTTTCAGACCTTTTTGCATAAACTTTTTATCGCTTCTTTTTGACTAGTTCAAAAAAAGCTCATAGGCGATAAACATATTAATATATTAGAAAACTCTTGGTCATAACTTGCAGTAACCGGCCAAAGTAAAACAAGAATAGCCGGTTACTGAGCAAGTAGCACAAAATGTTGTGATCATAGTCTTAAAAAATGTTATTCAAATTAGAGTCCATTTTTCAGCGGGTTGATGAAAAGATCTGAACAAATAATAGAAATTAGGTTTATTCGACATTGATAGTTATATCAGCCTACTGGAAAACATTTTTTTTAAATTAACAAAAAAAAGCGGGAAAAAATAGTAAAATCATTTAAAAACTTTTCAAAAATTTTTTTGCAGAAATGTTTTGAACTTTTTCTAGTTTTCGATTCGAACTCTAGACCAACAATCAAAATTGTTAAACCGATTTTTTCTCAACATTGAGGAAAAAGTGTCTAAAACTTTTAAACTTCAATCGAATCACGACTGTAAGGACTTTAATATGATATATCGTTCGACCCATTCTGAGTATTATCTAAGGGTAGCTGATTTTGCGTGGAAAACAAAAAATAATAATAAAAAACTAAAACACCCGACTACAGAGTTCCTTCCCATTTTCAAGGTTCGGAACAAAAAATCAAGTATTTGTTCCACTGTTTAGAAACACTCTCGTTCCCTAGACTTCTCGTTCCCTAGTAATTGAAAAAACTCAAAAGTTAGTTATGTCCTCAGCCAGGGGCGAATGTGGGGTGAGGATTGGGGGTGTTTCCAGACAATTTACCACCCTTCCCTTACGGATTCGGCGCCAAAATTTTACGGCGGCATTATGTGCTAATTTTGTCAGGGAGCGCGCGCCGAAAAAACGCAACTTTTTAGTCAAACAAAACATTCAAAAAACCCAAAAACGGAATTTTTGGCCTGTCTTTTTTACAAAACAAATGGCTGCGGCGCAGAAAGTTTGGTCAAAAAAGGGTCCTTTTAGTGATTTAGGAGACCTCAAGAAACCATTTGATCGACCTGAAAAAAAGGTCAACAAAATTTTCTAAAAATTTCGAAAGTCCGCCCCTCGTCGAAAAAACCGTATATCCGCCTCTGGTGCGCAGTATCTAAAATTATTTTGTTTTTCATTCTTCGAGGTATCAGATAAAGATTTTTTTAAATTTTTTTCCAATATCTGCAGGCTTAAACTACAAAAAAAACGACATATTGTCCAATTTATTTTTCTGATTAGGGTAAAGAGTGCCAAATTAAGCGCTCTTTGGTTAAAAAATATAATTTTCTTAAAGCACAAAAATTTGTTTATTTTTTTTTGTTTAATTTTTTCAAAATTTATTGAAGTGATGAAAAAGAAAATAGTTCCTTCAGTTACCTCTTCGCTTAGTTTAGGACTCAATTATACTTTATATCATAAAGTATCTAGAATGTTAAATCATCACAAGATACATGATACATCATACTTGATATCTTTGGGCCGCACCTGGATTTTCAGGCAGGTTTTTCAGACCTTTTTGCATAAATTTTTTATCGCTTCTTTTTGACTAGTTCAAAAAAAGCTCATAGGCGATAAACATATTAATATATTAGAACACTCTTGGTCATAACTTGCAGTAACCGGCCAAAGTAAAACAAGAATAGCCGGTTACTGAGCAAGTAGCACAAAATGTTGTGATCATAGTCTTAAAAAATGTTATTCAAATTAGAGTCCATTTTTCAGCGGGTTGATGAAAAGATCTGAACAAATAATAGAAATTAGGTTTATTCGACAGTGATAGTTATATCAGCCTACTGGAAAACATTTTTTTTAAATTAACAAAAAAAAGCGGGAAAAAATAGTAAAATCATTTAAAAACATTTCAAAAATTTTTTTGCAGAAATGTTTTGAACTTTTTCTAGTTTTCGATTCGAACTCTAGACCAACAATCAAAATTGTTAAACCAATTTTTTCTCAACATTGAGGAAAAAGTGTCTAAAACTTTTAAATTTCAATCGAATCACGACTGTAAGGACTTTAATATGATATATCGTTCGACCCATTCTGAGTATTATCTAAGGGTAGCTGATTTTGCGTGGAAAACAAAAAATAATAATAAAAAAACTAAAACACCCGACTACAGAGTTCCTCCCCATTTTCAAGGTTCGGAACAAAAAATCAAGTATTTGTTCCACTGTTTAGAAACACTCGTCTGAAAGTTTCCGTTATTTTTAGACAAAACTACAGCAATTGCTGGGAGAGCAAATCATATGGCGCAAACCTTAGACTGTTTAGCCATTGTTCCTACCTTTTTGCAACGTTATTGCCATTTAACTTAGAAGAAAACATCGAGTAAACATTCCTTGAAATCTTTAACTTCATGATGCAAACTTCTCTGGTAGGAATATTCTGTGCTACTTGCACAGCAGCTGGCTATCATTGTTCTTGTTTTGAATTGACTTTAGTCGAAGATTTTTTTGTTGCTTGTTTCTATGGAAAAAATATTGGACATATAGCTTAAAAATCAAGTTGATGGGATAATTTACTGCTTGAAAATGATGTTGTGTAAATTTTAAGTGTTGATCTCCAATTAGAAAGTTTGCGACTACTTTTTCCATGTGCCCTTAGCTTTTGTTATGGTTTTCAGGCAGCAAATAGAAACGTCTTATAATTTTTGAGTTTCCTTGAATCAAATGCCCATGAACACAATCGTTAAGGCAAATTAGTGGCTCCTACGTTTCCTTTGCAGCTCATTTCCATCGGATAGCTGGAACTAAACACGTGCATCTTTGTTGACTAATTGAATTCATTTTCACTTCCTATTAAGACCCCATGTAATCAATTCGTTTTTTTTTTCACTGGGAATGTTGAGTTACGATAGGTAATTTGAGTCACGAGATTAGGTACCGGACAACAATTCGAACTGATTTTTTTTCTGCTTTTTTTTGCAAAATATTTGGTAAAACATTTTTTTGGATGTGATTGTTTTTACTTCGACATAATTGCCATTTGGTTCGTTTTCAGAGTGGCCAATCGGTTTTCAGTGATGACTAAACACCTGAGCAGATGCCGACACGACAAAGAGCACGCATTTAAGAACCAGATGAGACAGTTCTCTCGACAGTACGCCTATCTGGGTGAGAAATTTTAACAAATCTGGGTGAGAAATTTTAACAAATTTTAACAAACGAGAAGATAAACTAACTTATGATAACTATATCTTCTTTCTTCAACAGTTTTTTCAATTCGGAGAAGAATAGTCAGGGTAAGTACTTTGATCACACAGTGTTTCAATGGGGAGTTTGGGGTCTTTGACTTTATTCAAAGCAGACATACTTATTCCCTAATTATGTTCATCTACTGTTGCTGATGTATAGACGAACGATCGTCAGACTTAAAATTGAAAACACTGGTTGCGATATGAACTATAGAGTTCATATTCGCGCGATGTCGAAGGGTAAGAAAAAAAAAGAACCCGACTCCAGGACGGGAGCCGGGAGTTCAAGTGTGAGTTGTAGCCAGGAGTGGATTCAGCGTGGGGGGGAGGAAGATGAGGTAAGGGCTAAGGTGCATACGCTCCCCCTGGGGGATTCGACCTCTCACCCACAAGGTCCCTTTCCCTTTGATCTACTATTGAAAGTTTTTTAGTACCGGTCAACCGAAAAGGATGTAGAGAACCAAAGGAGAGCGTTGAATCCCTGACGGAGGAGGGGGGCTATAAAGACCTACCCAGACCCCTAAATGCGCTCTGGTAGGAACCTTTGAAGTGAAAGTATTGATCATTCCCTGCTTCTGATGTCGGCTTCACACGAATAACAATTTGATCGCTGAAAAACTGTGCAACCAATGTTTTCAATGTGTAGCATGAAGACCGTTCAAAAGAAAATATACGTCCATAACAAAGGATTCAAACTTCATGCTAAATTTTGGAACTTAAGTAGCCTACATTAATAATGTGATTGATATGATCACGAACTGTTTTCTTGGAAATTCGTGATTGGAGAAAAAGGGAAAATGAAATTGAAAACAGAGAAAAAAATCGTGAATTGTGAGTGACTTGTTTCTAGAAAACATCCCTGCCACAGTTCACAGTCACCTCTCAGACAGAGAAATAGACAGACTGAGTCACAGGACCAGTATGTTGATGGGTTCAGAAGGAGGACCAGTGATGAACCCAGAGAAGACCAACTTCTACCGGAGACTGATAGCGGCCCACAAATACCTGCCAAGACCAGAAGATAGACGGTTGCTCACCGACGACAGATTGGTCAAATTCAATTGCCACAGGAAGACAGAGGCCAACTTCGTAGGAACTGATGCAGACGTTAAGGTCAGTCAAATTCATCTAATTATCCATTCAAAACACTTCACCTACACAATAACGGGCCTTGTTGGCTTAATGGTGTTCTCCCGAACGATTCTAATTTGTATTTATAAATTTTTATAAATAACTTTGTAACTAGATATCGTTTGGAAACAATTTATTATGATTATTATTATTATAAATTCACAGTTCATCGACACAGTCTTCTTCAAAAGAAAAAAAACTTCAATTTCTACGACAACTTTTGATTTGATTTTGCCAAGATATAAACAAAGCAGGTTTGTCTGTTGCGGTTTTCCACACGTGTTTAATTGTAGGCCGATCAGTATTTGAGAAACCAGATAATCCAGAAGAGGATCCGAAACTGCCGCACTGCCCTGGCCAGAGCATCCACGGAAGGCAACAGGCTGTGCGACCAGTTCGACTCATACAAGGAAGCCGGTATGCGGACTCTCAGTGTAGAAGCTGCCAATTAAGTTATATTTACTTTAAAACCAAATAAATACTGTGTTTTTTGTTTTTAGAGCCAATGCTCCGAAGAGCAAACTGCTATTTGGCTTTACAAAGTCCAAAAAGCATTGACTGAGGCTTTTGGAGTAACGCCTGTCAGTTTTCAAAAAATTAATTTACTGAGAAATACCGTTTATTGCGACGTTTTGACTTACAAGACCTTAAATCCATATATCTATACTCTGTTCGTTATCATTGCTTTTTACATTTAGGCTTTAGGGCACAATCAGTCGATATCCCAAAGACACAGCTTCTGATAGGGGAGAAGAAACACAAAAACCTCGGCATTAAAACAGGTAATCTTAATCTTTGAGTGCGATTAGCAGTTTTCAATCACAGGATTCGACTTTTTAACACTGAATTTTTTGCATGCCAAAAAGAATGTCAATGAAATGATATATTTCAAATTCTGGTGAATACTTATACATAGATTTTTTAAGTGAAAAACCGTACCATTTTTTAATTCAGGGCGATATTAGCAAAGGGTCGTCTCTCCCCCCTTCAGGTACTCGACTCCTACTACTATTTTAGGACATTCGTTTTGGCGGATCAACTGCAAAATTTTTCCACACACTTGTGGCATTAATATACACGAGCTTTTGAGGGAGGACCTTGATCGTCAAAGTTTAATGAAATTCGTTGATAGCCCCTTTTGATGAATTCTAGATTTGCGCTATCTATGCACCTGTTTCACCCGATAATTGAAATTTTACAAGAAGATAAGAGTAATACCCAACAGAAAACTTCTTCTGACATGTTGAATATCATTTCTCTTATTCACAGATTTGGAGGACATTAGTGTGTCTGAATTGAATACATTTGTGCATTACTTCGATCACGTGCGCACTGGCAACGCTAGACGCAGTGGATCCCTGGAGCCGGAGAAGTTGCCGGACTTACCGAACCAGCTGAAGTCCAAGACTACGGCGGAGCAGAAGGATGTGTCTATCATAGCAGCCCGATACACAGTTGCCAACAAAAACTGATCGTCCAAAGAACTAATTTCTGCAAATGAAATGTTGGTGTGCGATAAAATTTCGCCCTAACTTTAGTACTTTTCGCCTCTACTGGATTTTTGTAGCGTCTTATTGTAGCGTGATGCGACATCCGATAACACTAGTATCACATCAAACTATTCCTACCTTGACGCTCATATGCAGTTTTTTGCACGACTATTGAAACGAACCGGTCCACGATCAGGCTAGGCTCATATGAAAGCTCCTGTGCACTTATCTTTTCCGGGATATATTGAGAATTGCAAAAAAGTAACCTAAATTTTCCAAAATAAATTCATTGAAATGAAGTCTGATAAAAAATTTCTTGTTTCTTTTTTCAATTTAAATCTTCTCAAACTTTTTTTTAAAGCCGTGAAATGTTGCTGATCACCTTATTCTGGCGCACCCTTAGTTTTAATTTTTTTTGTCTTCTTTCACAAATGCATGAACCAGCACAAACATTTTTCTTTGCTTTTTGCTTTGTCTTACCGATGTTTTCTCTTGTTGGTAGAAAATGACTTTTTCCCTTGCTCTCAGGAACTCGACCCCTCACTGACCAAACGGTCCCCCTTACATTTTATTTTATGACATCCATATTCGTCGACCAACCCTAAATTTTTTCTAAAAGCACCTCCGGCGCCAATACATACTAATTTTGAAGGGGAGCGCATTTTCCACCTGTTTTGACAGGTCAAAATGGCATTTTGGACCTGTTTTTTTTTCGTTTCAAAAATATGGCTGCGTCAAAATAGGGTATAGTATTCTGGGAGTGCTCCAAAAATCTGATTGGTTGACTTAAAAAAATGTCGAAAAAGTTTTTGAAAATTTTTGAACATCCACCCCCTTGAGAAAAAACTTGGATCCGCCCCTTATGATAACAGAATCTTTTCTATCAATTCAGATTGGGATTTGAATCGATTTTTTTGTTCTTATTCCTTGTATACGTAATCATTAGAATGCTTTGAAAAAGATGCAGGTTAGAAAACTTGATGACAAAATTTTCACGCGTTGCAGTGCTTAGAATCATCTGTGAAAGTTGAACATGCTTAGCAAACGATAAAATTTATTGCTCAGCGAACAATCAAATTTTTCACTGAGAACACACTCCACTTTCCCCACCTGTTTCGCTATTTTTTAATTTTATTGGATTTAGTGTGGAACTTCATTTTGTCTTTTGAAAACAAGAGTTTTTTAAAGTTCAGGAGCCGCTCCATTTTTAAGCTAGGCTTATAGAAATGTTCTCAGGTTCCAACTTTTAAACGAAAACTCACGTAAAGGCACAAAGACAATGCCACAGTGTATAATTAATAAAACTGTATGCTTAAGTATTTAATTAGTTTTTTGGGGCAATTTGAAACCATTAACTATCGCTGCTATTTAGAATTTTGGCGGCCATTATTTTAAACTTTTCTTTTTATTTTCAATTACGCTCCCCAGTACAATTATCTTCTCATTTTTTGTGTTTCTGGCTGTTGATTTTTCTAGTAACAAAGGTAATGAAACGGAAATAAGCCTTTTGATGCGTTTTGTCCAGTTTTCAAAAACTCCTCGTGGATTGAACGCTTACCGGACATCAAGCCGACGGAACTTCAACCCAAATCGTAAAAAAGGGACTTCAAGCCGAATATTTTCTCACAAAGTCGTAAAATTTGATCAATTTTTTTTTTGAAAAATTTCAGATTTTCATGATCTGTCTTCACTAGTTATTGTCGTTTTCATAAAATTTAAGCCTCGAAATGATGTTTAGGAAAGTTGAAAAATAAAAAACGGTTGAAGCTTTTCGTTCCGACTTTCGATACGAAAGTAACGGAATATTTGTGCTCGGGGTGGGGTTTTTTTTTCTTCAGACAAATTTCGACTTTTTAACTAGCCATTTTTGACGGAATTTTTTATATCATTCAAAAGGTATGGTTGTCCTGAGATTAAATTTGAAAAGATATTTCACCTTTGATCATTTTTCGTAAAGTTATGAGGGTTTAGAGATTGCCATTTTGAGCAATTTGGGACAATTAACGCGCGATAAATTTCGCGCTATTAACGCGTGAGCGGAGAGTTAATCCGTCTTAGTAATCGTTCCAAATTGATTGAAAGAAGCTTATTTGCCATAATTGATTTGTTACAAGGAGCGAAATCTATCCTTTTGTACTTAATATGGCGTGTGGGGGATGATTTTTATAAAAAATTTCAAATTTCAGAAAAAAAAGTTTTCATTTTATTTTATTACCTTTAATTTTTTTATAGGTTATTACTGCTTTATAAACCTTAAAAGGCAGTCGGAACATTCAGGGCTTCGCCCTGATACGAGCAGTCTTGTTTCATGTTTATAACTAATGCATTTCAAAAACCGGTTGATTTTATTAACGGAAGCAAATCCCAAGTGGTTCATTGTCATGAGTAACGCTTATTATGGACTAAACTTGTCTACATTTTTAACGTTTTGCAGATTAAAAATAGTGTTTTGAGCTTCTTGTAAAGTTTAAATTTCAGCCTTAATTCTCTTCGGCTTGAAGTTCCGTCGGCTGTTGTCGTCGACCCGGGATAAATATGCCGAGAAAATAGTAATAAGATACGGTTCTAGAAGCTCTTATTTTTGTTCCGACAGTTTCTTTGGAGTGGGCACAAATTAGGTCCTAGTGTCCGTTTTTTACAACGCAAAATAAGGATCACAAAAAAAACAATAATTATGCATCTATTGTGTTGTCATGAAAATCCTTTTGTTTTATTCAAACTTGGAAATAGAAACTAAAGTAATAATGAGACGAGACACCTCAGCTTCGAGGCAAGTTGGTTTAAGTCTTTCCAATTTTTCAGAATTATTGAAAGACGAATTAGTTTATACATTACGCTTTCAATCGAATTGAAAATATTGTATGCTCGTCATTATGTTTTTAAAAATTTAACAAGGGAAACGACAGAAAACTTAAAACAAGATTAAATTTAAACAGGAAGTCGAGAACCTGTTGAAGATAACTTGAAAGGCTACAGTTCTCAGATTGCATACTCATAGTAGACGGCTAAAATTCACAGTGTTTTGTAAAACTTAGGCAATTGTTCCGACTTTTGATACGAAAATAACGGAATATTTGTGCTCGGGGTGGGTTTTTTTTTCTTCAGACAAGTTTCGACTTTTTAACTAGCCATTTTTGACGGAATTTTTAAATATCATTCAAAAGGTATTGTTGTCCTGAGCTTAAATTTGAAAAAATATTTTACCTGTGATCATTTTTTGTAGAGTTAAGAGGGTTTAAAGACTGCCATTTTGGCCATTTTGACCAATTTGGGACAATTAACGCGCAATATAATTCGCGCTATTAACGCGTAAGCGGAGATTTAATCCGTCTTATAAATCGTTCCAAATTGGTTGAACGAAGCTTATTGGCCATAATTGATTTGTTACAAGGAACGAAATTTATCTTTTTGTACTTTATCTGGCGTGTGGGGGGATGATTTTCATAAACAATTTCAAATATTACAGAAAAAAAGTTCATTTTGTTTTATTTCATTTAATTTTTTTATGTATTACTGCTGCTCAATAAACCTTAAAAGGCAGTCGGAACATTCAGGGCTTCGCCCTGATACGAGCAGTCTTTTTATGTTTGTTAGGAATTTCCAATCCGTGTTTAGCAGTTCCCAAAAGACAAAAAATTGAAAACTAATGCATAAAATCTTTCATATAAAGATTGCAATCCAGCAGCTTAATATGTGAGATCTCTAAAAAAAAAAGATATTCAACAATTGAATTCTAATTGCATTTTTGGTATAAACACGGGCCAAAAATTTATTCAAAGCACAGTGACAGATTTTCAAAGATCCAGCTTAGGACCTCTCAGGATATAAAATGTTACATAGATATAAAATATTACAGCTGCTGAGTTGAACCGTGAGCACTTAGCATGCAAAATTCTTCACATGGTAGTCACTCCAAAAAAAAACGATTAGGTAAAGAATGATTAAAAAGTTTAATTTTTCTCCAAAAAATTAGTAGTAGCTTCGAAAAACTTTGAAAACAATTTCCTTATCTATTATATTGCAACGACTAATTCCATTCATTTGCACGCAATTTTTTTCTCTTCGGTCTTTTCCAACTGCTTTTATAATAGACTACATGAGAAAGTGCACATATGCTGTTGATTAGAACTCAAAAATAGTCATGGAAACTCTTAATTGCAGTTCAAATAACAATAAAAAATTTTTACATGATTAAACCCATCTGACCTTTTTTTTATCGTACTGGTGGCCAAAAACAGGGTGTGGCACCACACGGTTTGCTTTTTAAATATAAATGTACAAGTTCACAGTCAAACAAGACTGCTCGTATCAGGACGAAGCCTTGAATGTTCCGACTGCCTTTTAAGGTTTATTGAGCAGCAGTAATACATAAAAAAAAATTAAATAAAATAAAATGAAATTTTTATAAAAATCATCCCCCCACACGCCATATAAAGTACAAACAGATAGATTTCGTTCCTTGTAACAAATCAATTATGGCAAATAAATTTCGTTCAACCAATTTGGAACGATTTATAAGACGAATTAAATCTCCGCTTACGCGTTAATTAATAGCGCGAATTATATTGCGCGTTAATTGTCCCAAATTTGGTCAAAATGGCGAAAATGGCAATCTTTAAACCCTCATAACTTTACAAAAAATGATCACAGGTGAAATATCTTCTAAAATATAAGCTCAGGACAACAATACCTTTTGAATGATATAAAAAAAGTTCCGTCAAAATGGCTAGTTAAAAACTCGAAATTTATCTGAAGAAAAAAAAACCCACCTGAGCACAAATATTCCGTTATTTTCGTATCGAAAGTCGGAACAATTACATTAGGCTATCGGCGTGACTGCCCTATTATTCAGTGTTTTCATAAAAGGATTGCAATCCAGCAGCTCATTATGTGAGAACTAAAAAAAAAAGAGATTTAACAATTGATTTCTGATTGCATTTTCGTTATCAACACGAGCCAAACACTGAGTTATCTTTTCATGGGGCAGTGTGCAGGATTGTAATAACACCGTTTTTAGGCCACGTTTAGAACCTAAATGCAATCAGAATTCAATTCTTGTATATCTGGTTTTTTCGAGTGCACACATAATAAGCAGCTGGATTGCAATCTCTATGTAAGAACACTGAATAGAGAAACCTTCAGATTTCCATTAACTCATTCCAATCCAGTTTTTCTGATAGCATTAAATTTTTGCGTGGCATTCGTCTGCATCTCATCTCATTTGTCTGCATCAGTTTTCAAATTCTTAAGTTTTCTACTTTTTCAAACAAACATCGAAATTTTTTTAATTTTTAAATGTTGAAACACAATGATGAGCTTCTATTTTGAGACGATTCAAAGATGAACAGATAAAACGTATTCAAAAAAATTTGATTAAATGGCGAAATTTATGAGCAACCTTGGTTTCAGGTTAAAAGAACCCTTTTTTGGATTCGATATTTTGACCACTTATTACAATTTTACGACATTTTTTGGCTGTATGGCACCATTTTTCTAAAAACTATTTTATAGGGACAAGATTACTAATTGATAGGGCCGAAAAACGGTCATATAGGGGGCCAGAAAATTATCGGCTAAATAGGATCTTTAGAAAGTTTGGTTAAGCTCAGAGATACAATTTGGACGAGAAACTAAATTGGGCGAAGTTTATGAACAGTTTTTCTAAATCTGGTTTTATGTCAAGAGCGGATTTGAGGGGGGCGGGGTGGGGCGGACGCCTCCTACTCAGGGATTCGACCTCCAGCCGACCCAAAGGGTCCCCCTTTGGTACTTTTTCAGGTTCCATTTTTGGCCGACTGACCCTAAAATTTTTCTAAAGGCGCCTTCGTCGCCAATATATACTAACTTTGAGGGGGAGCGCGTGCCAAAAAATAACGCGATTTTTTTGTCAAAATTTTCCTTAAACTGCCCAAAAACGGCTTTTTTGACCTGTTTTTCCAAAAATTTGCCTACGGCGCAGAAAATTTGGCCAAAACAGCGTTTTTTTAGTGCTTTAGGGAAGCTCGGAAAATCAATGTGGTCAACCTAAAAAACTTTCGGTTTTCCATTCAATGAATAGCTAATATGGCTACAGTTTTTTTATTACAACACTAAAATTTGCTTAAAATATCGTTATTGATGCATGAAAACACTCCTACGCCACCAAAATAAACTCATGGAATAGAGTTTACATCAATACGTAGTCATGGTTTGGTTATGAAATAAAAGACGAATGATGGCGTCAGGTTTCACAACAAGCAAGTTCAAAAAGCAATGCACGCATAATTTTTTTTGTTTCCCAAGTTAATATAAATCAAATTGAAAATTAAACTTAATGCTACATTTGAAATAGAAACAAAAGAACATTTTGCCATTTTAAAAACATAGCGTTTCATTGGAAACACGACAGCATAACAGGCCATTTTCCTTTTTATAAGGAATTGTGAAGAAAAATAATTCTTATTGCACGACACAACAACAGCAAGAGATTAAAAATAACCATCCCTTGTCCTAAACGGACATCCGGAAACCGCCGAGTTCAAATTACATTGATGTATTGTTTGGATTATCATATGTAAGATGGGTTGGATGACACGTTGGATGACAGAGCACTTGTTCAGCTACGAGACTGAGAAATTAGTGCAGGTGCCCACTCTGAAGATAGGCATAGTTCACAGGAGCATCCAGCTGCTCATCATCTGCTACACTGTCATATTTGTCATCATCATTGAGAAAAGATACCAAGGCACTACCGACGCCCAAGGTCAGTTCACATAAGCACATATTCACCGTCTTCAAACAATAGAACCACTTGCAACGGCGTACTCGAGAATTTTTGACCGGTCGGTGGTTTTTGAAGTGCTTTACGACTTCTTTTTAGTTAGCCATTCGAATGGTTTGAGCTCTGTTAAGACTTAGGAATGACCAATAACACATTTGCTTGATCAGCCGACCATTTTTTTTGGAAAAAAGGCTTGTTGCGGCCAAAAATTGCGTTTTGTCGGCGTATGCTTTCCCTCAAATTTACAATAAAATTTTTTCTAGTTTTACCAGTTTTATCCTATTTCCCTTATGATGTATTTTTATTATTTAGGTGTCTCTTCCACAAAATTAAAGGGCGTGGCCTACTTGAGAGGACTGAACCACCCAGACTACCACAAAGTGTGGGATGTAGCAGACTATGTGTACCCTGCCAACCTCGAATCATCGGTCACTGTCATCACCAACGCCGTCATCACCCCTCTTCAGACACCCTCCTTCTGTCCCGCAGACCCCGAAGTGGGACCCCTTTGCGACTGCCCTGAGAGAGAATGCAAGAGCCAGTGTGTTCCGAATAGGGCGGAGCCAACAGGGAACGGAGTGAGAACAGGTAACTGCGTTCCAAGTGCAGCCGACCCCGAAGTGAAGGTGTGAGCGATCGAAGGGTGGTGTCCGGTGGAGATAGATACCTTGCCGACCAAAGGAGTCCTGATAGACGAGGCCGTAAACTCAAAAATAGTCATGGAAACTCTTAATTGCAGTTCAAATAACAATAAAAAAATTTTACATGATTAAACCCATCTGACCTTTTTTTTATCGTACTGGTGGCCAAAAATAGGGTGTGGCACCACACGGTTTGCTTTTTAAATATAAATGTACAAGTTCACAGTCAAACAAGACTGCTCGTATCAGGACGAAGCCTTGAATGTTCCGACTGCCTTTTAAGGTTTATTGAGCAGCAGTAATACATAAAAAAATTAAATAAAATAAAATGAAATTTTTATAAAAATCATCCCCCCACACGCAATATAAAGTACAAAAAGATAGATTTCGTTCCTTGTAACAAATCAATTATGGCAAATAAATTTCGTTCAACCAATTTGGAACGATTTATAAGACGAATTAAATCTCCGCTTACGCGTTAATTAATAGCGCGAATTATATTGCGCGTTAATTGTCCCAAATTGGTCATAATGGCCAAAATGGCAATCTTTAAACCCTCATAACTTTACAAAAAATGTTCAGGTGAAATATCTTCTAAAATATAAGCTCAGGACAACAATACCTTTTGAATGATATAAAAAAAATTCCGTCAAAATGGCTAGTTAAAAAGTCAACATTTGTCTGAAGAAAAAAAAAACCCACCCGAGCACAAATATTCCGTTATTTTCGCATCGAAAGTCGGAACAATTACATTAGGCTATCGGCGTGACTGCCCTATTTTTCAGTGTTTTCATCAAAGGATTGCAATCCAGCAGCTCATTATGTGAGAACTAAAAAAAAAGAGATTTAACAATTGATTTCTGATTGCATTTTCGTTGTCAACACGAGCCAAACACTGAGTTATTTTTTCATGGGGCAGTGTGCAGGATTGTAATAACACCGTTTTTAGGCCACGTTTAGAACCTAAATGCAATCAGAATTCAATTCTTGTATATCTGGTTTTTTCGAGTGCACACATAATAAGCAGCTGGATTGCAATCTCTATGTAAGAACACTGAATAGAGAAACCTTCAGATTTCCATTAACTCATTCCAATCCAGTTTTTCTGATAGCATTAAATTTTTGCGTGGCATTCGTCTGCATCTCATCTCATTTGTCAGCATCTCTTTTCAAATTCTTAAGTTTTCTACTTTTTCAAACAAACATCAAAATTTTTTTAATTTTTAAATGTTGAAACACAATGATGAGCTTCTATTTTGAGACGATTCAAAAATGAACAGATAAAACGTATTCAAAAAAATTTGATTAAATGGCGAAATTTATGAGCAACCTTGGTTTCAGGTTAAAAGAACCCTTTTTCGGATTCGATATTCTGACCACTTATTACAATTTTACGACATTTTTTGGCTGTATGGCACCATTTTTCTAAAAACTATTTTATAGGGACAAGATTACTAATTGATAGGGCCGAAAAACGGTCATATAGGGGGCCAGAAAATTATCGGCTAAATAGGATCTTTAGAAAGTTTGGTTAAGCTCAGAGATACAATTTGGACGAGAAACTAAATTGGGCGAAGTTTATGAACAGTTTTTCTAAATCTGGTTTTATGTCAAGAGCGGATTTGAGGGGGGCGGGGTGGGGCGGACGCCTCCTACTCAGGGATTCGACCTCCAGCCGACCCAAAGGGTCCCCCTTTGGTACTTTTTCAGGTTCCATTTTTGGCCGACTGACCCTAAAATTTTTCTAAAGGCGCCTTCGTCGCCAATATATACTAACTTTGAGGGGGAGCGCGTGCCAAAAAATAACGCGATTTTTTTGTCAAAATTTTCCTTAAACTGCCCAAAAACGGCTTTTTTGACCTGTTTTTCCAAAAATTTGCCTACGGCGCAGAAAATTTGGCCAAAACAGCGTTTTTTTAGTGCTTTAGGGAAGCTCGGAAAATCAATGTGGTCAACCTAAAAAACTTTCGGTTTTCCATTCAATGAATAGCTAATATGGCTACAGTTTTTTTATTACAACACTAAAATTTGCTTAAAATATCGTTATTGATGCATGAAAACACTCCTACGCCACCAAAATAAACTCATGGAATAGAGTTTACATCAATACGTAGTCATGGTTTGGTTATGAAATAAAAGACGAATGATGGCGTCAGGTTTCACCACAAGCAAGTTCAAAAAGCAATGCACGCATAATTTTTTTTGTTTCCCAAGTTAATATAAATCAAATTGAAAATTAAACTTAATGCTACATTTGAAATAGAAACAAAAGAACATTTTGCCATTTTAAAAACATAGCGTTTCATTGGAAACACGACAGCATAACAGGCCATTTTCCTTTTTATAAGGAATTGTGAAGAAAAATAATTCTTATTGCACGACACAACAACAGCAAGAGATTAAAAATAACCATCCGTTGTCCTAAACGGACATCCGGAAACCGCCGAGTTCAAATTACATTGATGTATTGTTTGGATTATCATCTGTAAGATGGGTTGGATGACACGTTGGATGACAGAGCACTTGTTCAGCTACGAGACTGAGAAATTAGTGCAGGTGCCCACTCTGAAGATAGGCATAGTTCACAGGAGCATCCAGCTGCTCATCATCTGCTACACTGTCATATTTGTCATCATCATTGAGAAAGGATACCAAGGCACTACCGACGCCCAAGGTCAGTTCACATAAGCACATATTCACCGTCTTCAAACAATAGAACCACTTGCAACGGCGTACTCGAGAATTTTTGACCGGTCGGTGGTTTTTGAAGTGCTTTACGACTTCTTTTTAGTTAGCCATTCGAATGGTTTGAGCTCTGTTAAAACTTAGGAATGACCAATAACACATTTGCTTGATCAGCCGACCATTTTTTTTGGAAAAAAGCTTGTTGCGGCCAAAAATTGCGTTTTGTCGGCGTATGCTTTCCCTCAAATTTACAATAAAATTTTTTCTAGTTTTACCAGTTTTGTCCTATTTCCCTTATGATGTATTTTTATTATTTAGGTGTCTCTTCCACAAAATTAAAGGGCGTGGCCTACTTGAGAGGACTGAACCACCCAGACTACCACAAAGTGTGGGATGTAGCAGACTATGTGTACCCTGCCAACCTCGAATCATCGGTCGCTGTCATCACCAACGCCGTCATCACCCCTCTTCAGACACCCTCCTTCTGTCCCGCAGACCCCGAAGTGGGACCCCTTTGCGACTGCCCTGAGAGAGAATGCAAGAGCCAGTGTGTTCCGAATAGGGCGGAGCCAACAGGGAACGGAGTGAGAACAGGTAACTGCGTTCCAAGTGCAGCCGACCCCGAAGTGAAGGTGTGTGAGATCGAAGGGTGGTGTCCGGTGGAGATAGATACCTTGCCGACCAAAGGAGTCCTGATAGACGAGGCCGTAAACTTCACCCTATTCATTCGCAGCACAATGGAGTTCAAAAAATACGGCTTCATGAAACGGAATATTTTAGACCCGGAAACAATTCGAAATTGTCATTACAGTTCGACGGACAATGTTTACTGTCCAATTTTCAGAATTGGCGACATGTTAGAGCGAGCTGGGGTCAAGTTTGAAGACATTGCAAAGTACGGCGGAATTTTGGGCATTTTTCTGACTTGGGACTGTAACCTTGACTATTCTTGGGACGACTGCCACCCGAAATACTCTTTCAAGCGTCTTGATGACCCCGAAAGCGGAGGTCACAACTTCAGATACGCGAACTTCTACCGACAGAATGGAACTCAATACCGCGATTTGATCAAAGCGTACGGGATAAGGTTTGACATTATAGTTGAAGGCACAGGTCGCAAATTCGACATTATAGTTCTAGTTAATAGCATTGCCAGTGGCTTAGCATTACTAGTGATCGCCAGCATAGTTTGCGATTTTCTAATAATCTATGTGGTAGATAATAGACATTTCTACAAAAATCAAAAGATTTCTGTAGTTTCCGAGGAAATTGAGGAGCAAAGTTCGACCAGTTACGGAACTCTGGAATCGTCGAAGACTCCACACGAGAGCGCTGGAAAGTAAAATGAAATTCTGTAGCTTTTGCCCCAAAACTGCACAAGGTGATTTCTCGAAAATAAAACCCAACGAAGATAATTTACTGACGTACAAGAATTTAATGATGTACAGTTGGCTCAATACTATTTACTGTAATATATTTTTAGTTTGTTTTTGAGCGTCACTTTTTACTTAGTTTGAAAAATAAGAAAACAGACTCTAAAAGTAAGTGATAATGTTGACTTAATTCGATTATTACAAACACTTATAAGCCTATGAAGTTACATATGCCATAATCTATTAAGTTTGTCAAAACCAGAATACATCTCAAGTGATTGGATGACACTTGCAATGAAGATAGAGAGTTTTTTCAAGAGCGGAGGAATTTTGACTTAGAAATACTTTTTTATTGACATTCTTTTGATTTCAAACATGCGATACATCTATTTCAAACTTGCTTGGCACAACTTGCGATATAGCGGAAACATGTCACGGCAAGCTAGTAGACAGAAAAATCCACAAACTTTGAACAAGAACTTTAAAAAATTGAAAAACTGACGCCCAGTGAAAACAAATTATTGTCACTTACTAATATAGCTCTGAAGCTTTGAAGCGCTATGTTTTTAACGTCGCCCGAAGCACACATCCACTTAAAATTCTATTATCACACTCCAAATGATGCAATATGAGTTGTCTATGCCAACCCGGGTTGACCGCCATACAGTAAAAATACTAGTCATACAGTTCCATACAATTTGTCTATGAAAAAATCCTAGTCATACAGTTCCCATATTATGGGAATTGTATGACTAGCGTTTTTTTGGAACTAAAATTGTTTCTCGATTGAAAACAAAAACTCGAGAAACTAAAAATTAACCTCTTTAAAATAGTGGTCTTTAAAACATTGATCTCAAAATTTATTGGAAAAATTTTTTGAATTTTTTTCCGAAAAAAAGTATTGAAAAAACGCTAGTCATACAGTTTCCATCCTATAAGACCAGTCGAAACTACTTGACCCGATAAATCTTCAAAGCGAAAAAATCAAAAGGGAAACTATACCAAATAGGAAGCTATCAATCTAGCTTGCTATTAATTTTTAGTAAAAGCCTTCGTAAAATCTGCATAAAAAACTATTTTCTCGAAACTAAGCCGACAAAGGCTAAATGGATACATAGAAAAACCGACCGATGAAAATTTCCAAAAAAAGTTTCAATATCAAGAGTGCTGATACAGTGCTGATTTAAATTAACCGGACAAAACGCGCTAAACTTGAAATTTAAAACGCATTTTTCTCAAATTGGATTGAGTTTAGGTGAAAATTTATGAAGACAAAACTTGCTTAAAATTTTAGCAGAATTGAAATGGTGCAATTGGTTTTGCAAAATTCGGGCCCAAAATTTTACGCCAAAAATGGGTCATTTGGCTTTTCTTAGTTGATAAAAAATTAGCCGAAAATACCCAGTCGATCACAGACATAACTATATCAAAGTGAGACCCTTACGTAGCCCAACAAACTTTAAGAAGGGTATAATCTCCAAAATATTGTATAAGTTAATTTATTTTTGTTTGATAGACAAAAAAGGTCATTTTTACTATATAAAATACCAACTTTTTATTTAAAAACAATTTTTAAACAATATGCAATTTTTTTTGGAGAAAATACCCTTCTTAAAGTTTGTTGAGCTACGTAAGGGGCTCACTTTGACATAATTATGTCTGCGATCGACTGGGTATTTTTGGCGTAATTTTTGATTAACTAAGAAAAGCCAAAATGACCCATTTTTGGGGTAAAAATTTTGGACCCGAATTTCGCAGAGCAAATTACACCATAATAATTCTTCTAAAATTCTAAACAAGTTTTGTCTTCATAAGTTTTCACCTAAACTCAACCCATTTTGAGAAAAATGCGTTTTAAATTTCAAGTTAACCGCGTTTTGTCCGGTTAATTTAAATCAGCACTGTATAACTTCTAAGTGTTTAGTAATAGCAGTTGTCAAGAGGTATAATTTCAATTTTTGAGAAAAATTTGAGCATGTCAGAGCCTGATTGTAAGAGTTCACGTGCTGTCTAGAAGTTCAAGTGAATTTGGTAAACAAATTGTTAACCCACAAAAGTCTACATTTCGATTGCATAACTCTAGCAAATTAATAATTCTCGCTAATTAAAAAAAAACTGGCCTGAATTTTTTTCGCTTGTAAACATTTTAGGATATTTCTGAAAATTGCCTTTAGATATTTTTTCGATATTATGACGTTTTTTTTCGATGTTTCCAAAATATTCAAAAACCATCGAGGTCGAAACATTCTGTGCTAATTAAGCTGCTTGTTATATTTAAAATGGTTAGCGTGATTCTTTTAAAAGTAAATTGTTAATTGAGGTGAGGTGAGATTTCTCGTTTCGCTCAGACAGAACTTTGTTGACAAGTTTGAATTGAATTTTGTTCATGTGTCTAAATGGAAACTTTTTTAGTTCAATTTCATTTCAATTTTGTTTAAGATGACCTAAAAGGTGTGGGAAAGAACTCTGGCTGAAAACTATTTTTTTTAGGTTTTTTAAGGATAACTCAATCTGGATCTTTTAAATATGAGCCCAATACAAAATTTCAAAAAAAAATGTTTGAATGTTGAGAAAAATAGGGCTGCGTTTTTTTCCGTTTTTTTTAAAAATCAGTTCACGCTGAGGATGGAATGAGAAAGTGATTCTTTTGTGTAAGTGTTCTACAAGTTCAACTTTATCTTAGCTATCGTCTTTTCATTGAAAAGCTCTTAGCATAGTACAAGGGCATTAATTGTGAGGCCGTCCAGTCGAGTGTCCGATCTACTGCCATGGAAATGATAGTGTCTGCAGCTCTCACTTGAACTTCATAAAACAATTCTTCATAAATAATTTCAATTTGGAATGTGGGAAAAAATTTAACATCGACTGTCGTTAGATGGGCATGTTAAGGCGTACTGATAGGTCCTCTTTGAACAAACCCTGAACCGAACGATCCGACTGCGTTTCAAATATATGAAACAATTTTAAAATTTTTAAAAAAAGTTTTGTAAATCATCACTCCACCCGCTATGTTAAATACAAAGTGATAATTTCGCATATAGCTAATTATTAACTAGACCAAGCATCTTGCCTCATTTCAATTTCGAACGATTTCTTAGAAGTTCTTAGATAAGACGAAAATTATCGCGCGGTAATTGTCCCGGATTGGGCAAATTGGCTATTTTTAAACCCTCATTATTTTTACAAAATGTAATTACAGGTGAAATATATTTACAACAAAAGGTTTCGAATGATAAAGAAAAAAATCCCTTCCGAAATTGCTAGTTAAAAAGTCGAAATTTGTGTGCAAAAAAAAACGAAAAAACCACCCGAGCTTAAATATTACGTATGTCACTTTCTTCGAAAGTCAAAACAACAACTTCAAATCTATAATTTGTGACGTCAAAGAAAACATTCGCATGTCAAAACCGTGAACTAAATCTCATTATTTTTCATGAGAATATTGTTTATGACGGTAAGTAATGCAGATTTGAAATTGTTTCGTTTTGAATATAATCGATTGTCCAGAAGATGAGATGGATTCCCAAATCCACACTCAAAAATTACGCTTGTGAATTTTGAATTATTGTTTGGTAGGTGTTAATAGGTTTCAGGGTACTAGGGACACTGATGAACCCCGTAAAAACTTTAGGATGAGCCGCGGGCAATGTCCAACTGAACTTCCTCAGTCGCGCCTCTCCCCCGGATTGATAAAAGATCTTTGCAGATGCCTAGACACTGAATTTAAACCAACTTAAGTCCAACGCCATTCAAAACTCAGTTTTTGGTTTGCCGACAGCTCGAAAGGTGAGGCCTTAGAATACTAAAGAAGCACAGAACAAAACAAGTGCAGAAGTTCAAGCAAAGATTCGCCGTGAGCAGGAAAAGAAAGTATAGACTCCGATATCGCCCTCGAGTTCTAGGGCTCAAGTGACACCCTAGAAAGTAATCCACCCGATCATGGATCAGTGTATCATGACGCTTTCGAAAGACTTGTCGACATCGTCTGCTTTGGAACTATTCAAATTTCGCGCAATAGACAAGCCTTTAACTCGTATTCACTTCAGCAGGGAACGTGCTAATAAGCTGGCGTCGCTTCACAAGTTACCCCAGAGCTAGTTGAAGAGACGTCATCCGCACTGGACCCATATTTTCACCGACCCCTTGTCTAATTTTATTTCTAATTTATGAATTAACATGTCTTTTCAGTTTTTTCTTTCAGTTTCTTAGGTCCAAGCCTGGTTATGGTCAATTCATAAAGTGTTCACAATTACTTTAAATTAGATTCAAGTTTTTTGCTTATATTATCTTCAAATCGAAAATTTGTAGATGTTTTGCGCAAGTAAGGATTAAGTTGATGAGCAACTAAGGATATACATCCAGAAAAAAATTGGCGATTTCAGTAAACAAATTTGAAATTTTTTTGTTTTTGTTTTCTAACTTTTGACTTGCTTTCACAAAACGCTCTTCGTTAGGACACTAACAAGACGAATAGGGTCCCTTTCTGGGAAGTCTGTCGCTGTTGCGGCAGGGTTGGCACCATTTGCACCATAGACCACCTTCACCAAGAAACATCCGTTCTACCAGTTAGACGACACCTCAGAATGCGAACGATACAACATCATCTCGCCAACCACTTGCCAGATCACCCAGGAAACCAACTCACGAAAGAACCCAAGAACCCACGAAGACTCATGAAAGAAACCCTCCAAACACGATATGAAGAAAGATACATTGAACCTCTACTCGACAGCAATAGACCTCTAACCGAAAAGAAGTACAGAAACCTGCTAAAAACGATCCACACAAATGAGATACGCGACGCCTTACAAACCTACGAATACCCAGCAGTCCTCGGACACAATCCACCAAAAATTGCCAAAGAAGAAATCGAATTACCAAGAACAACAAGAAGAACACTGGCACAGCTCAGATCCGGCTACTCAAAGTTCCTGAACTCGTACATGAACAGAATTGACCCGACAGTAAGCGAACTCTGCCCGGACTGCCAGCAAACAAGCCACACAACTATACACCTGTTCGACTGCATCGCAAATCCTACGAACTTAACCCCAGCCGATCTCTGGAAGCAACCGAAGAAGACAGCAATATTCCTGAAACTCCCCACAACCCTGGA